TGAACTTGCCAAACGCTTCTTTACAGACACACGTTTGGTGCTGTGAACTTGCCAAACGCTTCTTTACAGACACACGTTTGGTGCTGTGAACTTGCCAAACGCTTCTTTACAGACACACGTTTGGTGCTGTGAACTTGCCAAACGCTTCTTTACAGACACACGTTTGGTCTATTGAACTTTTAAATGAGTTTTTAGCTTCGTATATTTGACTTGATAGATTTATTAAATGTATTTACAATTTAACTTTATATTCGTTCAGTTTACTGTGTCAATCTGTTTAATTGTTAGTCGAGTTTAGTAAATTTTTTTTTCACCCCAGAAGTGTCCATTGGTCATTTCTAAGGTAAAAAATACACGTAACTTAAGGCCCACCAAGACGAGACCGGGAATATCCCCCCTGTCCCACACTGCTCACCACGGAGATACAGGAGAGTGTCATAAAAATGTGTATGTCATAAAAAAATAGTATTCGGGAGGGGGCACATACTAATTATTCTCCACGGCCCTGAACAAATCACACAAGATGATCTCAAGTAATAATACATTTTTAACATGTCCAAACAACAGTATTATTTGTATCTAAATACAATGATTTCTGAAAAAAAAATGCAATTAAAAAGTAAGGACAGATAAACTATTCCTAGATTAAAGAAAAATGTTCTCGATTTTTAATTAAGGACCTTAAAACGTACTTTATTACGAATGAACGTTAGTTTCATTCTTAATATTACGAACATACCAACGTTAGTGTTCACAGACGCACCAGATAGTGTTTTAGTAGGTTAAAATTACATACAATAGAAACACAACTCCAACAAGTTTTATTTTAACTAGCGCAAGGATCCCACTACGTCACTCCCCGGGGTTCCTAAAGATATGTCCAGGTTTGGTGACAACGGGTTCAGCAGTTCACCAGTTATAAGCAGACACAACACAAGGGGACCATGGCACAAACAATTTCAAAATAAGATCAATAAAGATGGAGGAAATGTTCTTAAATTTTCCCAGAAAAAAAATTATTTGCTTTTGTCATATTAAGTTCTCGTTCCTTCTGCCAAACCCAACAAATCTGCAGTATTTTTACACAGGCCAGACTAATATTTATTATCAATTACATGGGATACACAAACATTAACATTAAGTAATGTTTTGTGAAGATGAGACACTTCAAGAGTCACAGTGAAGTGATCTATTAAAGGTAAGGTTGACTCCTATTATCACACACACCAGGTTTACAAAGATTCTCAATTGTCTTGATGACATCTGGTCATCATTAGGATTACACCATCTTCTTAATGAACATGGTGACATTTGGCCATCATTAGGTTCACACCAACTTCTTAATGGACATGGTGATATCTGGCCATCATTAGGATTATACCATCTTCTTAGTGGACATGGTGATATCTGGCCATCATTAGGATTATACCATCTTCTTAGTGGACATTGTAACATCTGGCCATCATTAGGATTACACCAACTTCTTAATGAACATGGTGACATTTGGCCATCATTAGGTTCACACCAACTTCTTAATGGACATGGTGACATCTGGCCATCATTAGGATTACACAACTTCTTAATGGACATGGTGATATCTGGCCATCATTAGGATTATACCATCTTCTTAGTGGACATGGTAACATCTGGCCATCATTAGGATTACACAACTTCTTAGTGGACATGGTGACATCTGGTCATCATTAGGATTACACCATCTTTTTAGTGGACAGAAATTGATTAACAAGTCAGTAAACTACACGACCTGCACACTGGGGAATTAGTCAGAAAAACCTGACAAGCACATTGGTGACTTTGTTGAATTTTCATAAAAAACAGAAAACTACCAGGCACAGTTGTATCTGGATTTATCAGTATACTGTTAAACAACCGGTACAGAGTCATAGTTGTACCAAAATGAAACAACTTTCATTCTGACAGCTGCTAAATAATCTGGTCATTCCATTTTTCAGATATTTTAATTAATAATGCCTTAATAAGATGATGTTTCTAGTGTTTTAAATTTTCAACATTTTTTGGATTTAAGAAAATTCTGAACTTATAGTTTAATATATTTTACAATAATATCAATTTCATATTTTTTGTAACAACTTTGTTTTTCTATCTATTTTAATAGTTCCTTTTGCATTATCTAATACTCTGACATTTGCAACTTCAAAATCTAGGCACACTTGGTAATAATTAAATGTCTACTTAAGACACGTACATAACAATATAAAATGATCAGAGATACAAAGATTCTTACAGGAACTGGAGTTAATTGCTGACATTTACATTTTGTATAACACAGAAACAATAATCAGTAACTTGTGTTAAAAGCTATAACATTGAGGTTTCTTCCCTGGAACCTTTTATAAAACTAGTTATTAAAACAAAACAAAACACAAACGAGAGTGTCGTGTCATGAGTTTTTAACATTACTAGATTTCTAGGTCTTCCACTCGAAGGTCAAACAGTAATATACCATCAGCAACATCAAACAGAAACGATAGTTTAATTGGCAACAGCATAAAAATGGTGAAACATTATCAACCACTTAAATCATTGGTATAAACAAAAATTTTAAAAACATTCCAAATTTTATAACTAAACAACTAAAGTTTAGATATAACACCACACTTCTGTTTAATACCACAGTAATAAAAGTTTTTTCTACCACAGCTACGAAGATCTACTTGTCTCTAAAAATATATTCAAGTACAAAACATTTCCATGATAACACACTGCCTGATACGTGTTCAGTGGTGGAAGCGTTGTTAATACAAAACGGATTTCTTTTGAGAAAATTACAAATACAAACAAATATGTTAAATATTGCCAACATTCAATTTTAAAAATTCTATAAAACTTAACTATAATAAATCATGTCAAACAACTCGTCACTCGGTGCTTAGAATATTTCATTTCTGAAAAGATAAAAATGTTTACATGGCTTGAAATTCAGCTATGACGACGTGTATCTCGGCACATGTAAACACTCCTAATCTCAGTTATTAATAACTTTGACATAAATAAATTATCACCAGTACTAACATGAAAGATAACAAACAATTTCATTAACTAGCTATGAGGGAGGACTAACATATTAGTTATTGAAACAAAATATTAAAGACAAATGTTTGAGACTCAACCCTCAATATGAAGAGACTCAGTTTTCAATCTTATGAAATTTCAAAAACAAGTGTCACATAAAGTTATTTAGTTTGATGTGGGAGGTGACTGGAAACGACTTTTAAAAAATAGGAGTCTCCACCAACCAAGATATAAAAAACGAAAAATTGACACCACTGAATATCCCCAAGATGAGGAAGAAGGCACCCATCATTCCAGCTGTAGAGGCATATTTTATCTCGACACATCTGAAAATACAACCACGAATACATCTTTGTTCATTTAACATTAAAATAAGACTTAATAACCTGTGTTTAAACTATTACAAAGTTCTATTTTATTTTACAGAAAAATATTTACTGTTTAACCTAAAGGACAAAATATTAAACACTTCAAAATACAGGTCAGCAAAATTTCAAAACAAGCATTTTCTTTTCTCTTTGATACTTCCTTTATTCTTTAAACAAGTTTCATCTCATACAAGTTGTATCTCATTTGGTAACTAATTATGGACATGTTAAAATTTTATTGTTTCTACAGTGAGGGTGTAGACTATAGTTTATCTTGTTATACAATGGGTGGACATGTTACCATTTTATTGTTTCTACAGTGAGGGTGTAGACTATAGTTTACCTTGTTATACAATGGGTGGACATGTTACAATTTTATTGTTTCTACAGTGAGGGTGTAGACTACAACTTACCTTGTTATACAATGGGTGGACATGTTACAATTTTATTGTTTCTACAGTGAGGGTGTAGACTACAGTTTACCTTGTTATACAATGGGTGGACATGTTACAATTTTATTGTTTCTACAGTGAGGGTGTAGACTACAGTTTACCTTGTTATACAATGGGTGGACATGTTACAATTTTATTGTTTCTACAGTGAGGGTGTAGACTACAACTTACCTTGTTACTATGGGTGGACAGGTTACAACGTTACTAAGTGTGGACTTGTTAAAACTTTATTGTTTCGACAGTGAGAAAACTAAAGCTTATCTTGTTACTACATATGGATAAGGTATAATTTCTGGTCTCTACAATGACCAATAGTAGACTAACACTTACTTCCTTTGTGTGTTACAATAGTAGACTAACACTTACTTCCTTTGTGTGTTACAATAGTAGACTAACACTTACTT